GCTATCCGTGGTGTGTGCCTTCGTCTATTCCCTTGTGCAGTCGACTCCGAGGTACATTTATAGAGACGATGGTTTCCCACAGGGTGAGATTCATTCCTTCTATACCTGAGGTCTGTTGTTTCTTACCAGTGAATTTACTCCACGCCGGATAATTCCCTTCGTTCTACTGAATTCAGTAGAGGAATTTACAGTAAATCAATTTACAAAGCTCATTAAAAAATCACGTTGGATTTCGGTTGACGATTTGTCGACGTCTGCGTGGGAATGGCACAATTTATCCATTGTTATTTTTTACATAATTGCAGTTTTTCATTTTGGCGAAGATCTTTCAATTTTTTTTTATGACTTCAGAACAAGAGTAATTACTTTTCCGACTTAAAAAATCAGCTGTTGCACTGAGAAATATATCGCCGAGAAAAGAGGCCACTTTGTCGAAGGTTTATTTATTCAATGATAACCCCATAATTTAATCTCAATATAAACGACATGGCTCGTTTAGTAGAGTAGAACTCAAGATATTAGTGCCTTAAATTTTGATTTAATTTTTCTCAAAACAAGATTTTTTTGCATTTTCAAGTTTGAGGGCCTATAACACTGGTTTTTTTTTATCTAGCCAGACGCGAGATCTGTCAAAATGTTCCAAATTTAATTAGGTATATAAACCTAAAAACAGCGAGCCCTTTTCATGCGGGCGTTTACATGTGTTGAGTGGATTTCAATATTTGTGGATTAAAAGACAGACGTGGTGAAGTGTAGATCCAACCAAGGATTCTCGTAAAATCCACCCACTCAGTTGCGAATGAAGGTAAAGTTGTGTGGTTTGCACCTCTTCATCGGGTGAATGTACATCTCTGAATTTGCTTGACCAGAAAGTGATGTCTTGATGTGGGCTGTGACCATTGCAATGCGAGAGCCTCGATTAACCTGTCCCACCGGGCTCATTCCACTCAGCAAATTTCTTTTTTTTTACTTCCATCATAACGTGATCGTTCTCATTTCTTTTTTTCTCTTATTACTTGGGCTCTTCATCCGTAATTTTCAATTCTCCACGGCTTGTTCCCTATTAATATCAACCTCTCGAGACGTGAAGGGCCCAGTGGATTTTGATACCTCATTCCCTCGGAGCGATGGCACCGATGGAGATTTCTCGAAATCTCAAGGACTTATCCGTGTATGGGTGGATCTACTTGGAAATAGGAATTGGCTGCAACCTGGAATAGATTCCAGGAAGCTTCCAACTCCTGGTGCCATTGTGCACGCTCGTTTCGTTGGATTTCGTACGATCGCATTTAAATTCGTGAGGAGCACCAACTTTTTTCCCCTTTTTTCTCGCTTTTTTTTTTTCTCCTGCACTCTCCCCTACCACCAACCATTTGGAATAAATAAGTCGTGGGGTATTGAGGTTCGAGGGCAAGAGACACTGTGATTTCTCAACAGGAGAAGAGGGAGAGAAAAAAAATTCAATCTCTTTCATCGATTCCTTGTCTCATTGGGCTTCTCAACCGATATCCAATTTCTCCAACGAACACGGACATGGAATTTTATTGGTCGAGTTTCTGCCGTACGCACTGACTTTTTTATCCACCAACGTCGCATTTTATGAACAACGCGGGGGTAGATTGTGAATGCGATGACGAGCAACACCGTAAATTGCAAAGTTTGCTTGTAAGTATTGGCAACAAGAAAACTACTGTACATTGTGTGGATCCTCCTCTCGTGGGTCAGTCCGGTTTTCACGCCCGGGAATAATAACTACTACAACTGGAGCCCAATACAGTTGGCCACCTCCAACTGCCTTTTTTCTGTCACCAAACTGGTTTTCATGATAATTCACCAATAGTATTGGCTTTTTTTTTCTCAATGGAAACGGCAAGGTCTACAAAGAAGGATTTTGCTGTGAAATTACCAAGCTTCCCAGAATGATAACCAATCCGCAGCGAATCAGAGTGAAAATAATAATGGCACTATTTTTATTGGTCAGCAGTGTTAGACATCGTTTCTCAGTGTCATTACGTGCACCGAATTCTTGAAACACGTGTATACAAAATCAGCGACACGACGAGAGGAATCTTACGTGCTGGAACGTGAAACACGTTGCAGCAAGAGTTTTTCCCTTCTCCAGAGAAACCCTGGGAAGATGGTAAATAAATGGGTGAAATTGTCATTGCGAATCTCGGGTGTACGGTAAGATGAAGCCGTGAACAGTGCTCAGTACTCGAATTCAAGAGGGTTATGAAAAATATTTCTCTGGGTTATTTACCATCGTCTACGGGAAAAATTCGTCGTAACAACGTTGACATGTCAATTCAACCGGAAATGTGGAATAGTTATGAATCTCTCTCATTTCTTTTTATTTTTCCTACCCCTTGTCCTCGTATTCCACCAGTTTACAGAGCAATATGCTCACGAAGGAAGTCGTCGCCATGACTTTCATATAGTACCGACCGTCCTCCCACATTGAGTGGTCTCGTAAAGAACTACTCACCAATTCTACGACTTGACTTGGACCAAATGTTCAGTAAAAGAAGAATACGGGTGGAGAAAATAATGCGAAATATGCGGTTTTGCTTGGTCTGACAAATTTTTACGATTCAAAGCTATTTCTACTTTACGATTTGTCATCGGGCCGAGCCAGTGTGAATCCCGGTCATCAAAAGAAAGAATATATATATATATATATGTATATATATATTTAAAATTAAAAAATTTATGCATAGTTGGCAGTTTTCGGTGTATTTTGGGAATTCTCGATGGAATATGTAATCCCAGGCATTCTTGACTATCCGTGAGATACCATCAAATCCCTTCTTCACTCAGGTGAATATATCGAACGACTGTATGGATTCTCCAGATATTTCCGTACTCTGATACCCCACCGAAGAGCGAACAGATACTTGGAATACCAATCGCGTTCGCTAGATAGTGTCCGCAAAAATGAAACCAGAAATCACCTACCAACTTCCATTAACGTTCCACGAGTTGGGATTAAATTCATAAACAAAAAGCAATTTCACCAACTATTTAAAGTACAGCTATAACTAATAGATCCAACTGATGTTTCATCAAATTCCGGTCTAGAGGTCCAGATTGAGGCATCTTGAGTCTCGATTTTTTTCACGCCAGTAACGAATCCCAAACAATGGCCGAAAAAAGATGAAAGGAAAAAGACTCCAGGTTTTTATTTATTATCGAAGATAAAGTCTTTGTTCGACTCTTCTTTATTTTCCCTCGCGTGGCATACAATTGAGTCGAAGTGAAAAAAAAAACATGAGCAAGAGAGAGGACTCGTGCCTAACAAAGATAACCGGACAATTTATCGTTCTGAGGGGTGGAAGTTATCGTGGGGTACATCGGGACAGATCAGGCCAGCTGTACTTCTCCTCTTCTAATCATTTTTTCATCAATGTATCCTGAAGCATCATCACGTAGAGACTCCGGTGGCAACCAGCCTCCACCTTCACACGCAGTCACTTTATTTCTTGTTCTCTCCATCCCCTCAAACGTTAATGTCTTTATCACGAGATAACAATGGGGCCCCTCTAATTATCCCAAAGAAATCCTCAAAAATCATGACGAACTCGCTCAATAAATTTCCCCTCACGTACCTCAAATGTCTCAAAGTAGTTGGAATATGCTCTGTGGAAATAAAGAGAAAAGAGACAGCGGAATTTCAGTCACAGCATAGCGTGATAGCTGCCAGGGGATTTAAACATTCTCCTACAGTTATCTTTTGGTAGCTCCAGCAAAGAATCCATTTTTCATTCCGTGGGCCCGGCGTGAGAGTAATTTGCATACGGTGGGTAGATGAAGTGCGAGAGATGGTGAAGCAAAATGACAGGAGAGACAAAGCCGAGGAGAGAGAACTGAGAAAACGGCAGAGAAAACGTAAATGTCGTGGTTTTTGAAGAAAACGAAACAGGGATGGGGTAGGAAGGTATAGAGGAGAGGGGGTTGGAAGCAGAAGAAAAAAAATGCTAAAGCAAGAGGCTGAAGCGAATGATAAAATATGCCTCCGCCCTTTCAAATAAAAGTGGACGCGAACGTACGAATGCCCTGCACCAATGTTTTATGCATATCCCTGAATAAAATATGATTACAAAGTCCTTTTGATTCAACGTATGTAGCGGCTTTCCGCGAAGCCTTCCACCAATGCCTGAGCAGAGAACGCATACAGGGAATGAGAGAAACCACACGGCTGTGTTTGCCTACCCCTCTTACCTCTTATATCCAAGCCATATATATATATATATATATATATAAGCCGTATATAGCCTGAGCTTTGCGTGTGTGACTTGTACGCACGCAATATTTTCAACCCTCTCCCTCAGTTTAATATAACCACCGGTGCGCTTCAATTGCGGAAGGTAGACCACCACTTTCGCGCGCTCAAACATTCCACCGATGAATAAACTCCCGAGTTTTGCGACCATTATAACTGCTTGCTCTCACTGACGAAAAAAACAATCTCTCTGTTTCAACATAATCCGCTTTACCAACTAATTTCTATCCCTTCTCTTCATTATCGATCATTAAATCCAAATTGATTTATTATTTTTACATGAAATTCAAGTTTATCCAGTAACACGTATAAGTAATTGCTGTGAAATGTTACGGTTCCGTGTCTGGCAAGTTTTGATTGAGCAGAGGGTTGTGTAGGGCATCGCATGAACGCCGAACATTAGGACTATGTGCGTGAATGCGAGGGGATCGATCCACTGGTGTTGCCAACTTCTCCTAAAGTACGAGAAATCTTTGTTAAAAATAATTAGCAAATTTTATGGAAATTCATTAAGACTAATGTTTATTATCTCGTAACTTTTTGGAATATTGACAGAAATCGGGAGCGAAACGCAGAGGGTGCAATAAAATTTGATGTTTAATTTTCACGAGTTCAAAAATGCAATTTTCTTGAAATTTTAAGACCAATGAAATTTCGCAAATGTTTTCACAAGTTGAATAAAACTCATGTAATAATCAATTAATTTGAATATTTGTTGCAGGTCAATTTCGATCGCCTCGAATAACAGAGCACCCTACGGGCATAACAGTTGCAAAAAACGAGCCAGTAACCCTGAACTGCAAAGCCGAGGGTAAACCAGAGCCAACGATAGAGTGGTTTAAGGATGGTGAGCCGGTGCAAACATCACCAGGCGATGCCAAGTCACATCGTGTGCTACTACCAACCGGATCCTTATTTTTTCTACGTGTGATGCATGGAAAGAAGGAGCAGGACGGCGGTGTTTATTGGTGTGTTGCAAAGAATCAGGCTGGAAGTGTCAGCAGTAGAAATGTCACCCTCACCGTAGCAGGTAAAATGATTTATCCTTATTATTGCAACATCTCCGTCTTGAAATAGCACCCGAGCGGTTTTACATCATTGCCATGTGTACTAACTTTATTGCAAGCTAACCGAGGGAAAACAAATTGTTGTCCACGATGGGGAGAGCGCATTAGCCTCCAAACTCCATACTTTCACGCTCCGTCTTCTCCCTCGGTCGTATCCAACGAGGTATATACGGATGTAAATCGATTATGCATACCCGTGAATCGTGAACTCGATAAATTATTGGAATTCGAAATGCCAAGCCGATTTTCAATGGAATGAACGTCCCATCCAGACATATCGATGGATCCTGCATTTTATTGTCCCTCCGGTCAACTTGTCAACGGAATTTTATTTTCATTGTCCCATTCAGGGATCATTAACGATGAAGAGATCATGGCTCATTTACATTTCGTTGAGTAACGTCAGTCAAAAGCGTTTTACTTACACTGAGAGAGAAAAACATTAGTCTCTATTTGCGCCAAGAAATTCAATCACTCGAAAACTTACAACAAAATCATCTCAAGTTTTCTTTTCTCAAATTTACTCCTTACAATACCTCCTGGTATAGATGATCATTGATCAATTATCATTATTGGATTTATGCGAACAAGTAAAAATAGTCTTGGGACAGGGGATTAATCGCGTATGTTGAGCAAATATTGTAAAAAAGATTTTTTTTTCTCCGGGAATACGGAGTAAGAATCAATTAGCCTCCGTTATGCACAATAAGAGCAATCAGAGGATTGGAAAAGTAAATGAGAGGCTTCCGCAAAGCCCCCCGGATCTGAGGTATCATCCTGAATATGCTAATCACGAAGCACTGGGGTCAGAGTGGATTTTCTCGAAAATCTCCAGTCCAAAATGTAGTCAGTGAGTTTATCCGTGGCAGTTATAATAGCGATTAGCTATCGTCGAATTGCATAATTCTCGTGTAAAAGCTCGCGGTACAATTAGCATTAATTGCGATACGGTTGTCGAGTAACACTGGCTTGTTTACAATAGCGGAGTGCATTACACCATTGCACGAGTAAAAAAGCATTAACGTACAATTTCCGTCGCTCAACTTTTTCATGCTATCTTATCCCATTGTTTGATTATTTCTCTCACTCGTCTTGCACGAGAGTCACGACAGGCTTTTGTTGGATTGATATACACCCTCACATTAGAAAAAAGTCATAAAAAAGCGAACACCTCCCTCGGGTCTTTTATTTACCTCTCCTCAATCCGGAAAACGCACGGAAATACAACTTACATTCTCGTTAGCGTTTTCAGATAAAAACTCTTGTTACGAATGCGGTTTTTAATGATAGCTCCTTCTTTATCCGCCCCTACATGGGGCTTTATTTTTTACTTCCTCTTTTTTCCATCGTAATTCGTGACAAAAAATTTTAATCACTGTTTTTTCTTACGTTGACATTCATAACGAAGAGGAAGTGAAGGTAGAGGAGTGTAAGGGCTTATGCTCAACAATTATTACCAGAGTTAGGTGGAAATGTGTACGTGGAATGCTGGGAATATAGAAGTTGTAATCGATGGCCCTCGTATCGTAGGGTTCGAGGGACGCGTTCGGTGGCAATACGTTCTCGGCAATGGCCACGGTAAATATGCCAATAGCACAAGAGTATGGGGATATGGTACAGACCAGAGGGGGGTAAAAGAGGAACAGGAAAAGCGAGAGATAGAGACTCAGCGAATATAATTCTGATTTATGTTGGATGGTGAAACTCAGCTGGTATAAAACTCGCCGAGTATTTTCATTTTCGTTGGAGCTCCCATCGATTATTTGTTGTATTTCCAACCCGGTATTCCCGGGACTTTTATGAGTTTTCATTTCGATCATTTTCCTTCCTTTTTTTTTTTACACCATCCTCACCACTTTTTTTTACCCTCTTTTCCTCATTTGGCGGCTATTTTCGGAAATAACTTTGCCGAGACCGAGGTGAATTGATAGAAAAAGTTGGTGCTCGCCGAAGGAAGTTGAAACATTGAGTTAATAGCCTGAGAGATTTGCCCCGTGGTTTTACGACATCTACGGTCACGAGGCAAAACCATCGGGATATGTACGGATCCAGTCAATTCCCCATCTCTGATTAGACGAGAGAAATCGTTAAAAGGACACTACGATTTTACTCGCCATCAAATTGCCAAACTTAATTCCACTTTCATCCTCAGACCAATGAGAAACTCCGGAATTCGCCAACCACTGATATATCCCTAGAGTGCGATTAGCAGTATCTGTCATCGCACACATTCACGACCAAATAAAGTATGCCCATTTCACCGATATGGAGGAAGGAATCGTTTTCCATTTTCCTAACTCCGGAAATTTCCATTTTTCCTTCTGCATTATGCAGCCGGTGGAAGGGATAGAATTTTCAATCCTTTGAAGAATAGAGGGCGAGGTGAAAAGCACCGGGAGATATAAAAAATTATTGGAGGAGGGGGTAAAGAGGACTGGTAACCCGGAGGGGTATTACCTTCGGCCGAGTTTCTTTTCCAGAGGGTGTAATTTATCGTCGAACATACCCGTTGTGCATTATTCCTGGAAATTTGCGGAGAGGTGGGGATTCACAAGTGATTTTCTTTAATTCTTTTTTTTTAATACCGGTGGGGGGACATAATGCCTTGCTGCTGCTTTAATGGGGACATATGTAGAGTAGTCCACACGGGCATTGTCCTGTGGCGTAAAGAGACTCACTGGAATCACCTGACCGCAGGCCATTGTTTTCAGGTTCAACCTCCCGCGAGATCTAACGAGGCTTTCTCTCCTTTTATCCGCCCTTTTTTTTCGTTTTTTTACTCTTTCAAAATCCGGGGGGTGTTTTCAATACCTCGGGCTCATTTAGGAGAGTTGCGACATCAGATTACGTCCTGGAGAAGACAAGTAGTGCATAATGTTGGAATTAAGGTCTGGGAGGAAATGTAATCTGAGAGATGCGTTCATGAGAAATATCTTCGGGGTCGGTTACCCCTGGAGCCAAGAAAGTGATAGTTCGATCGTGAAATTTGCGGGTGTCTTCAGTGATTTTTTTTACAAGTTGTCGGTGCGATTATTGATTCGTCTACTTTGCCCTAGCGTGTACCAATCGATCTGTTCGTCAGATTGTCGGGTAAAAAACGGATGGGGCCTTTCATCGTGGGTCAAGTGACGCGGCGGATTGATTGAAGTGGATATTAAATCCAACATCTCAATTGGTGATAATCAGGTTTATGATTAGAACATGTAGTCAGATCGGAACAGACAGAAATGATGAAGCACTTCTCGTGGATTAGTTCTTGTGTAACTCGATGGTCAAGGTGTGATGACTAGGGATTTTCGAATTCGGAGGCAACCCAATTTCAATTATTTTCTTTAAGACGGTATTTCCGGCTGGAGTTATAGATTTCAATATTATTTCTACGATAAATTTCAAAACGAAAGGACGCATCACAAAAGTGAAAATCAAAATGGAAAGATTTGGGGGAGGAAAATGAATTTTTTTTCACTATCAAATTTTGCCATCGACCAGTGAAATATTGGACATATACTCCTCGTATAAATGATATTAAATGAACACAAAAAAAAAACAATAAAATGGGAGAAAAGTGTTTTTAAAGAAAAGTTCTTCTAAAATAACATTTCTTCATCAACCAATCACTGATTTCCCACATATTCGCAGCGGAAACAATATAAAAGAGCGTTAAAAATAAAAGGCTGATAAAAGTGGAATGGAAATAAATGTACCGGAACCGCTGTTCGTCCATAAATTTTCGAATGGCGATGGCAAACAATTGATATTACCAGGTTATTCCATCACGTTTGCTCCGTGGATTTAGTCTCCATTAGCTAATAACAGGAGCACTTGATCGTTGAAAAGTCCATGTGCAGTTTCGTGTCGAGAAGGAGATAACCCAGTTGTAGCCCTGGAGGTGCAGCGGGAGGACTCCATCAACTAATGAGTCGCCGGGAAAAGCCCTTGTAGCAAGTGAGTTGGGGGATGGTTATGAGGAATCCAGTCTGTGCCCGGTCAAGAAGCTCAAGGCGTCAAGTAGAGAGGAGTCTAATTAAGACACTGGCACGGCTGTGGAAAATTATACGTTCGCTTGGTCACACCTCGGCACGTAGTCTCCCGCTCTTTATCTCCCAGAATCACTTTTGTCCATCTCTAATCTCGCATCTCCCAAGGAACAAAAAACGAAAATGGGAGAAAAGAAAAAAGAATTCCAGGGAAACTGGTGATTCCCTGTGCTAGATGTCGGTGACACTCAACGGACGACTGATGGGTCAATAAAGTAAAAGGGTATCGCGTGGGAAACTGACCGTGTGCGTCAGGAAGCTGTACGTGATCGTTGTATTGAATGTGCGTGATAGGCATTGAATTGAGAAAACCCTCAACTGCTTGGTAGAACCGACAGATACATTTGTACGAGTGAGCAATCAAAACTACACAAAACGTGTCTTCAAGTCTGAAGTATTTATTGAGAAGTTGCTCGGCAACTATCCGACAATCTACACCATGAAACTCCATGATTTTTCTTTGTCTTCCCGAGTTTGTTCTACCAATCATAAATCAAAGTCCGGGAATCAACGTTTTTCCATTCACTCCCATAACTTTCGATACAAATATTGTTTGACTACTACTGGAATCGGGAACCCCACGATGAGAACTGATTAACAAATGAGCAAGTGGGCGTGACGATGTGTTGGGAATTTTTCCTCAATTCCAGGCGTGAAAGAATTTTGGAAAATAGCCGTGCGTTATTGTATCCGGTAGTCTGGTGTTATGAGATTCTGGAAGTGTTGTAACTCTCGAGCGTCAGTCACCCGCCATTCGGACTTTTATTTTTATCTCAAAGTCCGATAGTTTCAATCTAGAAGAGAACGAGAAAAAAATGACAATGTTCAACGATAAAAGTTGTGCTGATTGTTGAAACGAGGTGTGTTGCCAGTGATTTGAAACTTTTGGATCTCGCCGGGTTCTAATGACCAAATTCATCAGCCCC